TGCCTGTAATCCCAGCTATTCGGGAGGCTGAGGCAGAAGGATTGCTTGAGCCCAGGAGTGTGAGGTTGCTGTGAGCTAGGCTGACGCCACAGCACTCACTCTAGCCCGGGCAAAAAAGTGAGACTCTGTGTCAAAAAAAAAAAAAAAAAGCTTGGGAGGGCTATGCGGAGAAAATTCTTCCCACCCACCATGAGGACGACACTGGTTTGTTTCCAGAATCAAATCACTCACTGTCTCACTTAGCCCTTTCTGTAACCAATGACAGGAGTTATCTAGAAGCAGGCCAGGGCCGGGAATGGAGTCTTTGAAGGAAGGCGGAATCAAAGGAGATCAGGATAGTCTAGCTCTACAACCAAGCACAAGCCCCTCCACAGCTACATCATAGTGTCAGCCTGGGGGAGGGACAGGCAAGAGGGTGGGAGAAGACGGGAGAAAGTGAGCAAACCCGAGAACGGCCCTGGTGAGGTCTGGTCAACTCTGTTTACACTCTGCTTACACTCGGGGGCAAAGAATGGTTGAAGCCGCCTCTCATCCTCCACCCAGAAAACGTGGCCAGGTGAGCACCAGATGCTTCTACCCAATTAAACTGGTTGGCAAGGGCCCTGGAGCCGAAATCTCCACAAAACACCAAAGAAACTAACGCAAGTTGATAGATGACTTCATTCGTCCTTTTCCCCACTGTTTCATCACCCTCTTCCTCACTCTTCCATGCATTCCTAACAGGAGGAAAGAAAAGGACTGCTACAGGTAGTGTCCAGGGTTCTCTCCAGCCCCCTGCCAGAGCTGCCACGTACAAGCCTGCATTAATGGAGGCAACCGTGGTAGGGATGATCCAAACCAGCAGGTGAGCTCAAAAGCATACGGAGCGTGTCTCTGAAATGCAGTCTCCAATTTCTACTCATCCTTCTGCGGAATGTTTAAGACAAATATGATAATCACACAGCAGTGGTGGTGCTGAGGCCGTGTGTGCTGCTGCCTGGGCGGGGAGGGGGAAGGACAGGGTTGGGAGGCTGCAAATGCGCTTGGATGGCTGGGGCCGCGGGGGCTGGGGGGATGGATTGAGACCGACGTCCTTGGCGTGCGAGGGAGACTCGATTGCACTTCCTCAGGCACCAGCGCACAAGGAGAGCTTTCTTCCTGCTCTCAGGCCCTGACTAGAGAGTGGATGTCTGCTGTTGTTGTTTCAGGGTAAGTTTGGGTAAAATTCCCTTCATTATGAGGAGGGAGACATTTAGAAGAGTCTGTAATACCCTTGCAAAGGGCTGTTCAGAAGACAAGATCCAGAAAGCAGTGTGCAAAAGAGAAGGAAAACTGGTTGCTTCCTCTGCCGTGTCCCTGCCTGAGGATCCTCTGATCTTACAAACCTGTTGCCCCCGTTCTTCCAGCCACTTTCAAAAATCCTTGCGAGTGAGTGCGTGGAAACTTGAAAAAAGAAGGATCTATTATCCTCCTAATCCACCCAGAATGGCCAACCTGATCATGGGCAAGGCAAGGAGCTGAGGAGACGTTTTCTTCATTCCATCCTGTGCTTGGGCAACCACACAGACTAGCAGACTTCGCTACATGAAGTTTAAGGGTGGGGCCTCTGTAGTGTTGCGTGACGACAACCAGCGATTTCACTAAGAGTAAGACCAACCCCCATGGCATTCATTCTTCAGAGCAGAGTAGTTCAGAGCACTCTGAAGCCAAACTGCCTGGGTTTCAATCCTGACTAGCACTTAGCTGTGTGATCTTGTGAGAGTTACTTAACTTCTCTGTGCCTCAGCTTTCTCATCTATAAAGGAGGATATTAATATCTACATTATAGGACCACTGGAAGGATTAAATGAGTTAAAAGGAACTTAGTACAGTGCCCGGTACTTAGCGAGGACTACACAGAAGTTTGTTAAAGTAAATGTTTGTAGGTAACGGCATACATAGCTTGGGCATGTTCACTCAACACTGTTGGCTTCATAACAAAATTATTGAAGGTCCTCAGGCTATTCCATACTTGCAAACAGTGTCCATTAGCCAGGATCACAAACCATCATTTCAAAACCTAATGGTACTAGTGAAACCGCTGTTAAGCCGCCAAGTGTTAAGATGTTTTTCTGGGGAGACGGGGCTTCCACTGTGCCTGGGACATGTTTGTTGTCCTTTCTACCAATATCCCCTCTCGGACAGAAAGGACCTTGGTCCTAGGCTCATCCAAATCATCCAGCGAATGACGATCTTCCATACTGTTTGTGTCACGGGTTACGCCTTCCTCAAGCAGACAGGATCAATAAAAACCCCTGCACAGAAGGGGCAATGGAAAGAGAAGGGAGGGAGGAGAGCCTTTTACACCCTTCCTGTTCCTCTTGGGGCTGAAGGAAACCCTCGGGCAGCTCTGGGGCCTCTGTGGACTGCAAAGGCCACTGGTAGTTCTGCATTTGAACTCAGGGTGTCCGCGAAGCCTGTGGCCATCACCGCGTGGTGCTCTCGTTGCTCGTACCCTGGGGATCCGCAGGAGTGGCTACCAGTTTTTAGGGCTTCCAACGGAGTCAAATCTGGCCGCAGCTAAAGTTGCTTGACTCCTTCCCCACCCCACCCCTAACCTGTACTGGCCTCAGGGAGCCAGATTTGGGTTCTAAGTAGATACCCGCAGTTGCAGTACAGCCCATGGCACCACACCCCTAAGTTCTGTAGGAAGCTGCCGTTTAATAAAGCCCGTGGGCTAACAAACATTTCAAAAGACTCCAGAATGCAGAGCAGCCTTTCACCTGCTCCAAGCAAAAATGCCGTGTTCCTCCCATCCCATCTTTGGCCCTTCCCCAGCCCTTCTCAGTACGAGCTAAATGCCACACTTCATTGCTGGGTCAGTAAGTCATGTTAATGGAGCTGACACTGTGTGATACAGGGGTGCGGGAGCTGCAGACGGGCGGGTGAGCAGGGGAAAGAAACAACCAAGTCAAAAGTTAGGGGTTTCTGGATAAAGAGAATGACTCTAGTCTTCCTCTCCCACACGCAGCCTGGCTCCTCACACCTCCTTCCCCATCCTGGCCGGCTGGGAGCCTCCCTTTCCCAAAGCTCCACAAGGACATACCCAGCACGCGGAAGCCCTTTCTTTATGTGGTGCTGACCTCTAGAGGCTTCCAATTAAAAAGCATCCCCAAGGACCTGCTTGATTTTACTGCTGGTTTCTACATTCCATGTTTGCCTTATTTCCTTAGAAAATGAGGAGGAGAAAGTATCTCCGCTCCTTTAAATGCTCCCTCAAAGGAAATGCCTACTTTGTTCTTCAGCTGCCTAAACATTACTTGCCCAGATTATTATAAATGTCATTGTTTTCTACTCCAAAAAGGGGAAAAGGTGGGTCAGAGATAAAGTATTTAAGTTTTTTGCCTACTACGGTGCTAAGAGGAAAAGTACAGTGCCAGCTTATACAGGATGCGTTTTTTGACTTTCCAAAGTACCAGGGGGCCAAGCCTGCCAGAGAAAGGAATGCTTGTCCGCCCCCGATTCAGCAGGGTACCAGGTAAAACCAGCCGCCAGACACCCTGGCACACATACGGCCAGTTCACTGGTCCAGCTCCGGTGCAGGGTCCAAACACTGCGTGGTGGATTTTGCTTTGCTCATCTTGGTGAACTTGAAACCATACGTGTGCACAACGAACACGGGCCAGTGTGGTATCCCGCTCGGCTCACTGCTAACGAAAATGAGACTGTTTAATTACATCCCTAGGCAAAGCACCCCAAATCTTCCTATTTTCTTGTAGCTTCTGATTCCTTATTATTGATCACAAGGAGAAGGGACATCTAGGAGGCAGGAGAAACATTCAGGGACGCTGGCACTTGGGCTAATACACATCCACAGTATCAGCAGGGTCTTCATTGCTAAAAGGGGGTCCTAGGGAAAATGGGTTCAAAATCAGAGAAGCACAGTTTGCCAACACCAGCCGCCCAGCCTGGTTTTGCCAAACAGCGTTTCCCTTATAACCGGACTTCCCGCCCTCCCTCCCCACTCCACTCGCCAAGACAAGGGACATTCTCACGGTGCCTGAAGGGAACTTTAGGGAGTCCCCCATTCTGATTTTTACAGACGAGGAAACCAAGACTGGGGGGAGGCACTGGGCAGAGGGGACACACCTAGGCTCATCCAGTCGGTCAGGGATGACTCTGGGCTAGAACGCTTCCCCCCAGCCAACTGACTTCAGCACGACTGACTGAAAAAGGGGAAACGTGGGTATTTCTAACACTAGTCCCTGCGCTTAAAGGGGCCAATCTGCATTTTATAAACTCCATCTGTGAGAGGGATCCAGTAACAGCCTAAGAAAGGAACCCTCACAAGTAAGGCCTTGTGTGCACCCCCCGTGCAGTCAGGACCTCAGACCAGCGCGGTCTGGATGCTTACACGCAGCCCGCCACTTGAGTAAAATCTCGCACGACAGGCGCGTGGAAAACAAAGAACCACAAATCAAGTTATCTAAAATACACACACAGGCCTCTATGCTGTGCCTATTAAGCCAATCTCAAATCTAATTTAATCTACGGAGACCCATTCATTTGGAGAGAGAAACTCGCCCTTAATCAAATAATGGAACTTACCACCAACTTCCAGATTTATTTAAATGCCATTGTTTAGTGAACAGCAATAACCAGGAGGAAAGTAGTGGGGAAATGGTGTCATGTCATCATAGAAGGAATAGAGAATACACATTTCTCATTGGTGCCACAAAGGATTCCCAACTAGGCTAGAAAAAATCAGGTTCTCACACACAAAACACTAAAGTACTGGTTTAAAGGAGGAGTGGAAAATTACTAAATACCACTTAAAGCATCAGAATAGATATATTAATGTCCCCGAACACATAAATCATTACCCTTCGGACCCGTGTCAGTGATTCACGTCCCCCGCTTCCCCCACCCTCTCACCATCAGTAAGGCCGATGGTCCTTACTCCTTGTTTCTCATTTACGAATCGCATTAGGTGTCCTTTCGGGCCACACATTGTGGACAGTAAAAAAGAGGCCAGCACCACCAGAGTTTGGAAGGCTCTTTAATAGCAAGCGTATGGTAATTTCATTGTGGGATGAGGCCCTCCCTCTCAGGGGAAGTGGGGTGCAGGAGAGGGTGGGGTTCGATCTAGGATTTACACTGTTTGAAGCATCTAACAAAGGGCGACAATTTTTGGCAACCCATTTCACAGTTTTTTAATTTACAAGAGATTTCTTTGAAAGGAAGTATGAAGGCAAAGAAAGCACACATACCCTACACGAAACATTTCTTGCCTAAAAAAAACCCCAACAACTGTTCCTAGCTTTTGCCTCTTGTGTAGATGGCTAAATTTTGCTCTCATACACAAATTAAGACTGCATCGCAGAGAGTTCAGATCTGCCTTCGCACTGGAGATTTCTACCCCGCTTAAAAGCCGACACTGGCACAGAGCTGCTCTGCATCGTCACCTGCCTGCACATCAGAAGGTGCTCGGGGGGAAAAATCAATCTGGAGAAACAAAAACAGAACAAAACAAAAAAACAGGAAAAGGCAGTTCACAAAGAACTGTCAGCTTTCTCTCTGGTACCAAACAACGTGAATACGGTTCTACGCAAATGAAATGTTTATTTTTATGTGGCTTGGCACTCACTTTTAATTGCTTGTGCCTGTTCAGCTTTATAGTGCTTTAAATGGGGTTTCTAACATGAAATGCTCATAGGTACTGTATTTTTGTAATCCAAATTTAAATAAAAATATAAAAGACAACCTATTATTTAACAATGCGCCCAGTGAGCAGGAGCTATAGATATTTTACCATGGACACCGCATTATCATGGATACCACGGGCTACTGGCATTCTGGCAAGGTTTAGAATCACTCTATAAAGTCAAAGACTTCAACTTCTTGTGTCATATCTGTTATCACAAAACCAGGATAATTGATTGGGTCTTTATGAAAGAGGCTTAGTTTTTAATTAAAAAAAAAATTAGGCTTCTCTGAAGACTAAGCAATTGGCAACGGCATCTCTTTGGAGTTACCACTCACTGGAGGGAAGGAGGGGTCTGAGATCCGCTTGAGTTTGAATTGTGCTCTTTCTACAACCTTGAAGCAAGGTGGAGTAGGAGGGCCCCTGCCCTCTAGACTGGGGGGGCATTCCTGACCACAGCCTCCTCTCAGCCACCACTGAGACCCAAATATGGCTCATGGTTTACCTGCTAGTGGGTGGGAGCCCCTCTCAGATCTGTCTGCACAGACAGGCTTCTCCGGCTGGCAGCTGATTTTATGGAGGGAAAGAACTCCACCAGATTAGCAGGACTCGTGCTGTCTCCTTGGCTGGGGGGCATTTTTAAAGTCACAAAGCCACCGCCAATACAAGGCTCTGCCTCTCCACACAGTCAGTCCCTTTGAGGACAGAAGGCGTCTCATGAGAGAGCATGGAAACAGTTTTCCGGGGTCTCACATGATACTGTCAGACCCCGACTCTCTCATTCTGTCTTATTCTTCTCCCCCACCCCAAATTAAGTCCTGCCTCTCTCTGTGGGAAATCAGATTTGTTCATATCAGTTTCCCAACTTGTGAATTTTAACATACTAGGCATATTCCTAAAATATAAATTCTGATGACGCCTGGGATCACAGCTCCCTTAGGTCCCTATATTTTGTGCTCTTATGAAACAGAAACAATATTGAGAGACATATTGTGCTAGAGAATGGTTCCTGTTCATACATGAAAAATGACAGCAACTACTAGAGGAGAGAGGTTTTCATTTAAGTACACTGGAAACCTAATTGTGGTACCAGGATGCAAGGAGAATCCTTACATAAGAGACTTTTCATGTTCCAGCTGTGGAAAAACACAATGTACCATGCGCTGCTATGGGCCTGGGAGTCGCGAGCGGACACCTTAGTGCCACTGAATCCATGGTGGTGGCAGGCACTGCGTGGGGTCTCACCTCCCTCCCTGGCTCCGCAATTCACTCTGATTCCCTGAAGCCTGCTCCATATTATTGGGCAGAGGAAAGTACCCAGGTAGCCATAAGAAAAACGTCTCCATCATTCACTCAAACCCAGGATGGCGGTTTTGTAACGTTATCACAGGTGTGAGCTCCGGTTTCACACCTGGCCCACAGCGAGCGGGCAGTCAAGCATTCCCCACGCACTCGCTCTCTCATTCACTCTCTCTTTACTTTCACTGTCACTTTCTCCCTACTAGATGACATGGCAAAAAAGTAGTAATACTCATCTTTCACTCTCCCAGCTATCCTTCATGCAAATCTCCTCTCAGTTAGGTTAAACGTAGACCATTTCCAAAGCCCCAGTCGGCCACGGACGAGGAAAAGCTGTGTCTCCTACAGGCAGAGCATGTATGGTTGAGACAAAGATGTCTCCTGGGGGCTCCCTCTACCCTCTCTTCTAAGGAAGAGAATTTCGTCAGCCCCGCAAGATTGGGTCCTGGGGGTCTAGACACTCACAGGTCAACATGTTCTAAGGTAGTTCTGGGGCCAACACCCTAAGGACAGCATCGTGGCAAGATCCCAGATGTATTTCCTTCTTGTGTCTCCAAGAGTTTCCTAGACTGCTGCTCTGTATACACACACGAGGCAGGCACAGAGGGCAGTGTTTACAGCTGGAAGGGCACACACCCTTTGTCCACGCACTGGTTAAGTGACTTATCAAGGTCATGCAGTCAATGGCAGAGTCGAGACTGGAACCCAGGTGTCTCTCCTACCTCCCAGGTGGTGCTCCTCCCACCACCCTGCTGCTGCCTCGTGGTTTGTGTTTGCACGGGGGACAGGTCAGGAACATGATTCAGCATGGAACCATCTCCACAGCAGAAACCACGGCTGCCTGACCTCACTGCCCACCAGGTGAGGCTCTGCACCGGCACATTCCCGGTAAGAGTATCCACAGTGCAGGAAGGAGTGAGTGTGTGCGTGTGCACATGTGTGCAAGCACTAAGGGGAAAAGCAGGCAATCAGAGAAAAGGAAGTTTTGGAGGAAACAACCCTATTTGTTAATGCCTTTCGGGTTTTGCCATGGAAAATAAGTAACATACAGCTATATTGTCTACACCCTACCCCTGGGCAGAACAAAGACCAGAATTCTTATCAGCCCACTGAATGGCTGAGTCTATCTCAGCTCAGTTTTTATAAACAGAGAACATTAACATGATAATACCGACATGTACTTGGTCAAAGTCTAAACACCTTTTCGATAAAAGACATTTTATGATGATATCCATTCAATTTCCAAACATATGTAAATTTAGATTTTAAGCCTATAAAATTTTATAACATTCCAGTTTACCTTCCAGTGGAGCAAGCTAGTCAAGCCTCTTTCATTTCAGGTGCAGAAGTCACTCTTGTAGCCTACTGTGTTGAAATGGAGGTTATTGCACCTGGGCGGTATCTACTGATACATAACCTACAGCTCGCAATCCCCTCTGCTCATAAACAGAGCCGGTCAGAACACAGGCAACGCTGCGAAGGGTGGGGATGTGCTCACCCTAACAAAATACTAAGTTTTGTTTTGCTAACAGGCTACCCGGAAGGAAAGTCATTTTACTTGAAATTAACCTTTAGTATGTTTTTCCAAGAAAAGAAAAGATGTGAGTACTGGAGCACAGATGGAAACCACTGTGGTAGTATTTTACCCGATGACCTAAAACTGCAGTACACTGTTTTACCACGAGCAGCCAAACTCCGCACAGCACCAGTCAATTAAACAGAAAATGTGGAGACCATCAGGTTTACACCGACATGCCTGGAAGATACACAAGACCCCCATAAGTTCTGTGGCCTCCGCTGCGGCTGCTGTTTTCAAACTTCAAAACTTTGACAACCTAATGGGCATGTCTGTGCATATTTAAAACATTCCCACCCCAGACGCGAGGTTTAGTAAAGTGTTGTAAAGGAGGCATTCCACATCGTAAGTTATTAGAACCAGAGATGCGGAAGGGTTCAAGAAAATGAATGTTTCAAATAATTCCATGTTAGTATTACAAAGGATTTCCCCAGTTAAGTATTTTTAGCTAATGATGAAAGAAGTATTTCCAATGACACAAGTTGTTTCTGTGAGTTGTCTGAGTATCTTGATCATTAAAATTGTCCCCTCTTTTAACCATGCTAGCGCATGATTAAAAGATTCCTACTTTCACGTCCCTTTAAAAATTTACTGTGAATAAGGTCCCTTAAAGTACTTGATTACAATTTTTTAATAAATTACACAATGGGATCCTTTTCTTTTTTTTTTCTTCAATAAAAGATCAAGAAAGTGACGAAGGATTCCATCATATTCTTAAAAACTTTTTATCCCGGTTTATTTTCCTATTAAATTTACGTATGGCTTCAAAGTTTAAGTGGCACTTGGCTTCTAGATGTTTACATGATTTAACAAGTTGCCAGGTCATTATAAAGAGAGAAGGTAAAGAAACACTTCATTTCATATATGGGACGGTTTATAAACATTTTAAAGAAATCGGTAATTTATGTCTTTCACCCCATTTATATTTCCATGATTAGACTTTAAAAGTGGCTTTGGAATTAGCATGTTTTGAAACAATTGAAGCAAGTAACATTTACACCTAACCGTGAACCAGCTGCTACATACCCAGGTATTCCAATAATGGCAAAACACCTAAAGGCTTCTCCGCCTCTCTTACCCTCTTAATCCAAAGCTACGTGATCATCCTTTTCTGCCCTTGTATTTGCACGTGTGCAGTTTAATGACTAGATATTAAAACTCATGCTTTTTAAGCAAAACCTTTCACTTACGGACACTTAAAAAGTACATAAAAAGTGCAGACTGCATTTCTTCTCTGCCATGCTTTCCCTCAGTAAGGTCACCTGTGAGGACTCAAAGCACATCCTTAATACATTCAGAGTTCTCTACATTCGAGTCAGCGAATGTTAATTCTCCAACATAAACTCAAGAGAGAATAGTCAGCCACAAAATGGACTCTAAATTCAAAATGGCAAAGGCTACCAAGACAACGCCATAGAAACCCCACTGAAGCAGGAGTGAAATTCAGGTCACTTCTGAGCAAAGCTCATCACAGATATTTTGTGGTCGTTAAAAAGGTATTTCATTTTAATTTGGATGCTGGGAGCCAGACGTCCTGTTTCAGAGTGCTAATGCAAAATGCTAACCCAGGAGCACGCAAGCCCACCTAGGTACCGCAGGGCTCACTATCCTCATCCAGGGAGAGCCCGCGGGGGTCTACTGCTGACTGACCCCCATTTGGGGGTGGTCCGCCTCTGGCTCCTCCTCTTCCACGTCTGCACTGTACTCTTCAAATGCGTCATCGTCTGCGTCCGGAAGCCCCAGTAACTACAGGGAGAGAACGAGAGAGCAGCAGCTGTGAGTGCCAAATGGACCACAGGTAGGAAGACAACCAAAGGCAACTGATCCCCATTAAACAGCACTTTACAGGACTTGACACAGAAGCTACAGATGTCCCGAGAGAGTCAAATATTCCTACAATTATTTTGCTAAACTTAGACAGAAATGTCAGTTGGTTTTATTAGGAAGCCTGGAGAGTCTCTATTTTTAAATATCAAAACCCAGCATCACATACCACATGTGCGCAGAGACATAGTATCTATGTGCGTGCGCACACGTCTGGGACATTAGCAGCAGTATAAGATGAACAGTGCTGACTGTCCCACCAAGATGTCAAAAATCTATTCTCTATTTTCTCTCCTAAAAACACACGATGCTATTACTTATAACACACTTCTAAAAATGTGGAGACAACTAAAATGTTCAACAGCGAAATGGTTAAATAAATTATGGTGTATCCGTAAGGTAGAATCTTATATATGCACTTTAAATGACATTTTTGAATAATTTAATGATATAAAATATGCATATAAGCATAGAAAGAGCATGATAAAATTGTACTTTCATTACAATACTATTTGTTAATGCCTTTCGGGTTTTGCCATGGAAAATAAGTAACATACAGCTATATTGTCTACACCCTACCCCTGGGCAGAACAAAGACCAGAA